GAAGCAGAATAATCATTTCCTTTTTGAATAATGAAAAAGTCCACTTCAAAATGCCCCAAAAATATTGGACAGGAAAACACCCTAATATTTTGTTTATAATTTCAGATGGTAGTATATGAAATCTTACAACATAAGCTAGCTGTGATCAAGCTAATATTACTTAAATTCATTTATTAATAAATCCATTTTTGTTACATAAGAAAACTTAATTAGGAAAAATGCAAAAGGAAAAATCCCAGCCTTTGCTTTTCAGAAAACACAGACTGCTGAAACATAGACTCTTTGCTGCTCATTCAGTGCCAGCCAGCCCCCTCCTGATACCCTCTACAGTGGTCCTCTGTCTTTCCATTCTTTTCCTCCACCACTGCTTATGATAAAAATTTCTAGCAACTTTATCTTCTGTGGTTAAGTAAATTGTTGAAATCTGAGTTGCCACCAGCTTGCTGGTAAACATAGAAAAAAGCTGAAGTCTGTGTTTAGGAATGGCCTTTTATCATTTGGTTAATATTTCTTTTCTGCCTGCAGCAATGTTGTTTTGGATTTGCTTGTTTTTAAGCTTCTTTGATTTTTGCTACATATTTTGACATTTGACTAATAGAAAAATTTTTTGCTTCTTTTCTTAGTCATATTATGTCAAGTGATTCATTTCTTCTCTGCCCCCCCCCTTTTTTTTGTAACCTCAGGCATTCTTCATGGTGCCTCTAAATATATCACGCAGCTGTTAAGGAAAAAAAAAAATCCCCACCAGAAACTTAGCATGTGCACTTTTTACAGTGTGATGAAACATATCTATTTAAAAACATTTAATTAATACTTTAAGGTATGTAGAATACATAAAAACATCTCTGAATCTATTGCCTGTCCCAGAAATTAGACCAGGCTACATGAAAGATGTGTCTTGCTACAATGATTTTCTAATGACTTGGATTGTAAGTAGTCACTGTTTCCCCCCACTTCTTTTTCTTTCTTTTTTCTTTTCTTTTCTTTCCTTTCCTTTCCTTTCCTTTCCTTTCCTTTCCGCTCTCATAATTTTCTCCCTCTCCCTTAGTACCTTCCTAGTCATTTATTCAGGTTTCTTTCATTTATTTGTTCAATCAGCATTTGTTGATCACTGCTTATTTGTCATATTCTAGGAAAAACATTGGAGCCATAATATGAATAAGATTCATAGTCACCACATTCAAGTAGCTCACATATATCCTGAGGCACATCCTTGTTCAAAAAGAAGACAGTGATGTTAAAGACCAGAAAAATGGTAGTAATGACATCTTTCTCTGACATAAACATGACTGAAAAAATAAAACTGTAATATATACAACTTTGGAAAGAAAAGGAACCTTCTGAAATACTTCAGATTGAGAGCAAATATTTGGATTTAAGCACAGGGCCTTCTAGAATCCACTCAAGTTGAATGACAAGGGTTTCCAGTGAAATCCTTGCAATAGTCTGCAGCCACATTCTGTATACTGATAATGTCTGGAGCTCACCAAGTAGAGGTGCAGGGAGTTGGGGTGGAAAGAGAATGAGGGAAATTAAAAAATAGAAAGGGAGTGAACCTTTGAATATCTAAAAACTGGGATCTCTATCCAACTTGACAATATTTTTCATGTCTTAGCTTTTATGTTCCCACTTTACACCGCATTCATATTTAAGCTCATTCTTTTCCTTGGGTTTAAGTATAGTCTATAGCTCCTAAATTTATTTTCCTGGCCTAGTATTCTCACTGGTGTTTCATACATATATCCAACTGCCTTGATGTCACCATCAACCATCTTATAAGTGCTGACTCAACTGAGGTCCATTCAGATTTTCAGTTTCAACCTCCAGTGTCTCTAGATCACAATGCTATTTACCTATACATCTGGTGTTCAAGGCAGAATGCTGTTTTTGTTTTCTGTTTCTCAACACTTCGCTGTCCTTCAATATTCACATCTAATCCACTGGATTAGTCCTATGGATATTGATTCTCTTGAAATTTTTGTATATTTTCCCATTGTTCTTCATGTCCACAATCACTATGTGGGTTTTCTGGTTGGATTCTGATGACTTTCCAAACAATTCTCCATACTGCCATCCAAAGAGATCTTTTTTTCAGTCAGAGCTGATAATGTTACTTCGATTTCTTAAACTTTCTGACTTTTGATTCTTCAATGGCTCCCATCATATTAAAATTCAAAATCTTTAATATGCTCTAAAGGATCCTACATGATCTAACTGTTGTTTATCTCTCTATACATGTCTTGAGCCAATCTCTCTTGCTTACTCCTCTTCACAATTGATGTCTTCAAGACCTTTGGAAGGACAGCTTCTTTCCTAACTCTGGAATTTTCACACATGGTCTTCCTTTTGTCTGCAATGTTCTTCTCCCACCATTTGCCTTTACATTGCCTGTTAATGATCTTAATCTATATATTTCTTCACAAAGCACAAAGCCTACCTTGAATCCTCCCATAGTAAATACTGCATGCTTTATCCAGATCTGTTTTTCAGCAGTGAGATAAACTGCTATTGACTATCAAATGATATCAGCTATCAACTGCTCACCATTGCAGATTACACTGGAAATGACCATCCAATGAAGGCTATACCATGTCTAAATGTCTGTCCCTTTGCTTCAACTGAATTACAAATGTTCACCAGTTATTGATTACAGTTGATTACAGTTGATTACCAGTTATTGATTACAGTTATTGATTACCAGTTATGATGGATGAACTTCTCTTTCCTTCCATTCCTGTCTTCCCTACTTATTTACAGGAATATCTCCTTAACATCTTTCCAATGAACTTTTAGAATACATTTTTTTCTCAGAGTCTACTTCCAGGGAATCCAGCCTATGATAGTACCAAGGATGGTACTAGGAAGCAAGTGTAAAGTGAAACATTAGAGCTGGATTTCCCAGTGTCTGAGTGACAATAAAGACACCATCACTGAGGTTAGGAGGGGTGTGGAGAGCCTCTGGCATGCTCTAATTTAAACATTCACTGTTGATGCACTAAGATGGGATACCAGTAGGAGGGAACAATATTGACAACAATATTTCCAGCACATGGGCAGAATGAGCAAATTGGTAGCTATAATGCCTATGGAAATAGGTGGCTCTTAATTAGTTCCATTGATTCACTGAAGAAAGACAATGTCAGGCTCAGTCACTGATTCCCAATTTAATGCAAAACACAAAACTACAGGTCTTCATTGGCTGCATTTAAAGAAACCCTAATCTCATGCAGTAGGGGGAAGTCAGAACAGAGGATCAGATACATGACTTTATCTTAAGAATAACAGAGCTTCTGACAAGGCTGCATTGGTAGTTGAGGTCTTCTGTGCCAAGGTCACAGCCCAAAGTGGAAAAGAGAAAGACCCTAAGATATGGAACAAGGATTTCTAGGTTGAGAACTTTGAATTCTCAAACTCCCTGAACCTGTTGGGCCTGTAAAATTGACCCTATACCCTCTTTATTAGAACTTAATAGCTCTCCTTGCAAGAAGTTTATGCAGAGGCCTCAAGTAAGGCAGGTGCCTTACAAGACAATGCTTACCTCTTCAACGATCTACTCCCTTCTACCATCCTGGCAACCATTTTAAAACCCTACCACTAAAAATCTGTCAAATCCTATCATAGCCTGAAGAGGAACGAGAGTAGTCTGCCAAGGAAAAAGAGGGACTCTTGACTGAAGAAGTTCCTGCTGGCTGATATATACCAGCAGGAGCAAGGAAAAAATGCATGGAACTATATTCTCAGATGCACTGAGGGAAGCAGACATAAATCTGATAAAGAAAAGTTTACTGATATGGAATACTTATCTGTACTATATTTCAAATTCTGGCAAGTACCCCAGGAGGCATTACTAATACATGGCTAAGATGACTCTTGGAAACTTACGAAAATTGATAGTCTGCCTTAATGAAGTACAAATGCCAGAATTGCTGCAACAGGTAAGGGAGGAAGGGTTCCAAAGACTCAGAGATGTAAACATTCTAGAATGCATGTACTAGCTAAGGCTGGAAAACCTACCAGTTTAATATGTTCCATGGGATGGCCTGGGGAAAATTTCATTTACTAAATGAATAAGGAATGCCTAGTGGGAGGAGCACCATCATCATTAAGTTCAGTACAACATGTCCTCTGTAGACAGTGGCTGATGGAGGTGGGGGGAAAGCTAGGACTCATGAAAGTGATGGGGATGATGGGATGATAGAATAGGAATCCAGGTAGCAACTCTTAACTGTTAGAAACAAAACAGGTGCAGTTTTCACAATGAGCAACACAATGACGTTGTAGAAGAGGACAACTCCACCAACGAAGTTGTGGAGAGGGTTAATAAAACACATTATTATTGTAGATAAAAGAGATAGGCAGTCAAGAGGTATATTTCTTAACAATACAATGAAAACTGAGGGAAGAAACATGTGGATGGACTTCTGGGAGAGGGCATAGAGCGTGAAGATTTTGTATTGCATGCTAATGCCACTAGTGAGCATAAACCCCAGAGAGAAACTTAAGTAACAAAGTAGAGAGAATGACTAAGATATAAAGTCAGTCAGTCACTGTCACTGGTCAACCAGTGCTGGGTCAAAGGGATAATGACTGTAGCTTCCATTATGGCAGGGATGGAGGTTATTCATGGGCAATCACTCACCAAGACTGTTCTGGACACTATTCCTGCTGAATGTCTAACTAGCCAACAACAGATACAAATGATGAGCTTCTGATGTGATTCCAGCCTCCTGAAGACCACTCAACCACTTGGTAGAAAGCTGAGTATGCATTGGACTCCTCCCACATGGAAAGATCAGCATGTCAGATCCATATGCTGATTATAAATGTCTTTCCTATGCTTGGCTTTCCTGTATATCTAAAAACATATAGTAAAATGTATTATCTATTGACACAGAATTCCACATGACTATGACTCAAAAGGACCAACTTTATAGCGAATGAACTGTGGCAATGGGCTCATGACCATAGGACATGTATAATACCACCCAGAAATTACTTACCTGCTGAATGGCAGAATGGGTCTCTTCAATATACACCTAATTATATTCATCAGTTGGTTTTCAAAGTTGTTCCGTGTGCCAAGAAAACATCAGGAAAAATAAGTAATCACCATTTCAGCAGGCATCTTTCCAAGAGACCCACCCTGACCGTAAAGCTGCAAAATGAGGATGAATACATTTTGTGCTCAGAAGCTGCAATGGGGTATTCCCTTGCTTCCATAACTGGTTTTTAAAATAATGAACAAGTACAGCAGCCAATGTCTGAGAATAGCATGGTAACCAGGGATCCTCCGGGGATAACAATCTCAGTCACTCCACCAGGAAATCTACCTAGCAAGCAAAACAGTTAAAAATAAGAAAACAAAATCTGGGAGATGTCATGCAGGAGGGTGATGAATATCAGCTACTGCTAAGAGATCACATGCAGCAAAAGGGATTACAATTGATCCGATAACCCTTTCCTTAGAAGTTTCCCAGGAAACTAAGTCAACAGGGATCCTGGAGGAGCTGTTCCCAGATACAGAACACTTCCTAGAAGATGCTACTGGATCTGTATCACTTAGCAGTAGACTATAAAGAATTAAATGGCACTCCACTTCAATACCATATTTAGGGCTAACACAACACCCCCAACTGTTGGAAATATGGGCTGCTAAGAAGCTCTCTGCTATGACCCTCACTATGAATTTCCCTCAGCTGTAGCAGCGAGTGATTTGCTCATGATTACAAACTTTTTCGGTGGGACAACCTTCACCCAATGAGTGTGTAATGTGAAGATGCAAATCGTTGTCCCCTGGCCTCAATTTGGGACAGATTTGAGTGGCAATGACAGCAGCAAGACTTCCCACAGGATCAGCGAAGACATCAGGTGCAACCACATGGCGGCCCACCTTCTCAGTATTACTGAGAAGGATCCTCGCTTCCCATGCTATTCTCAGAACCCCTTACTGCTTCCCTAGGTCTCCTCAAATCTCCTGAGAACATTCAGCAGTAAGACTTCTTTGTGATGCTCCCATTCTCAGATTTTGTTTCCAGTATATCTGATCTAAAATATTTGACCATGTGTCCTTCAGCCTCTCACCACATATTTTAATTTTCTTTCAGAGCAATTAATATCACTAGTAATTATACATTTGTATGACTACTAACATGACGGACAACAGGACCCATAGCTGTTTTGCTGATTGCTGTATCCCTTTACATGTGGCACATAACTCATGCTTATTAAATAGTTCTTGCTTTTTATTGCTACTCAAACCAGATAACAAGATCTGTTTTTTCAACTCCTTTCTTAGTAATACACTCTCCACTCATATGAGTTCTGCAGTCAGCCATATAGAAAAACCTCAAGCATGAAGAAATGCAGTTATTTGCCTTCTCCAGGATGCGAAATTCTTCTGGAGAAAACGGCAGCAACTTGTAGATCCCTGCCACGATCTGTAGCCCCAACTTGTTCCTCAACATAGCTTACCTTTCACATCACCCTAATCCATTGCTTTCCTTTTTCCCCAAACAGCTAATTGAGACTTCTCTCAACTCCTTAAGCACCTCCCCCCTCTCTAATCTGCTGTATGATTACAGAGGACTTAAGCTTCTTTGCACTACCTGCATTTGCAAAATATATACACCTATGCCTCTTTCTATGCCTTCTCTCTTGGTGCCAAATCAACTATGAGTACTTTTTGTCTAAGTTTATTGGGACGGTTTTTACATGTCTCTTTAAGGCCAGCACGTATCCTTGCTCCTGCGCTTCACAGACAACCTTCTTAAAGACTTGTTACATTACTATTTCTGCTTCTTCACCTCCCAGTTGTTTCCCCAGTCAAACTCAGCTTGCTCTGTGGAATCCATCATTCCACTGAAGTTACTCATGCCAACACTGCCAACAATCTCATTGGTAATAAAACCAACAGAATCTTTTCAATCATCAGATTACAAAGCTTTTTTCAAACATGTACGACAGTCGTCCTATCTCCTGAAATGCCTTTCTTGGCTTTCACCACACCTGCTTGTTTTGGTATTCCTCCCATCACTGTTCAAAATGGTTGTCAGGCAACTCTATCAACTCCCTGTCTTCTGGGATGCCTGTGTTGGAATTCTCCTGAGTCCCTGCCTCTCTCATTTCAGTGCTTTACAATGCTCAAAGGAGAACCCCATTCAGTTCTACTCCATCCAGAACTAGCACAAATCTCTATCTGAGGGTCAAACTCTACTCTATCCCCTATTCCCCTCAGTGCCACTCCACGTTTTCAAACCTGAGTACATTATCTTCCTCACTCCTCCTGCACTGTCATATAAATATCCCATTCACTCAAGCAACACAAGTCAGAAACTTGGGAATGAGGTTTAACTATTTCTCACCTTTCCTGCCTCCAGTTCACCAATTACCAGATAGAGCTTTCTCAAACTGCAGCCAATTATGTCACCCCTTACTTAACTGCCCTTCCTGATCTACATTACCCTAAGATAAAGTCCCGTTTTATTTGACAGACTCACTAGGCCTTTCATGAGCTAAAAACTCTATTCTCGTCAAAAATATTTATTTTTGGGGCGCCTGGGTGGCGCAGTCGGTTAAGCGTCCGACTTCAGCCAGGTCACGATCTTGCGGTCCGTGAGTTCGAGCCCCGCGTCGGGCTCTGGGCTGATGGCTCGGAGCCTGGAGCCTGTTTCCGATTCTGTGTCTCCCTCTCTCTGTGACCCTCCCCCGTTCATGCTCTGTCTCTCTCTGTCCCAAAAATAAATAAACGTTGAAAAAAAAATTTAAAAAAAATACTTATTTTATTCTTTTTTTTTAAAGATTTTGTTTTTAAGTAATCTCTAAACCCAACATGAGGCTTGAACTTACAACCCCAAGATCAAGAGTCACATGCTGTACCAACTGAGCCAGCCAAGTATCCCAGAAATATTTTATTTTAATCATCTTTCTCTATCTTGTCCAGAAAGTCAGGATAATTTCAAGAAATCAAGCTGCCTAACTTTGAATTTGTTCTGTATTGTCCACATGACATTTATTATTGCCCCGTGTGAAGAGAACAAATTTTCCCACATCTCATTTTTCTATAATCCATTCATATATGCATGAGAATTAATTGATATCTGACATGTAAAATTCTTCCATGGTGCCTTGCAAGTAGGACCCACTCAACAAATTTTACCTTTTTAAAATATATTTAATATTATTATTACTAACAGTAGTGTTTCATTCTACACATTAAATTTCTTCATACTATATGCTATGCTAATCATATAGTAAATATTAATTAAAGTGATTATTACATGGATAAAAATAAGAGTTTTACTTTAGAAAAGAAACTGATGACACTACCTAATATTTTACTGTTTTAAACTCTGAAATAATTGCAAGAGTAAGCAAGAAGTGATGGGGGCATGAGGAAGAGAGGAAAGTGGGTGATGGACATTGAGGAGGGCACATGCTGGGATGAACACTGGGTGTTGCAGGTAAGCCAATTTGACAATAAATTATGTTAAAAATAAAGAAAAAAAGGAAAAAAGTGCATTTCAATGAGGTTCAATAAGTATAAACCGAGATCATGGTAGAAAATATTCTAATACATACAAGTGAGAAGGGACAGTAATACTATCTTAGGCACTTCTCATGAAAGGGCTTGAGAAATAAGTATTTTCTAAAATATTCAAAAAGAAAATGACAAGGCATGCCTTAGATTTATTATGCCTATGGCAAAGGAGAGAGCAAACTGTGCAAAAATAAAGCTCAACCGAAGGATGACTTTCAAACTCTCTTATTTAAACCTTCTGGAAGAGAATGATAACTCAACAACTTGACTTATCAAAGACTGCAATCCATACAGCAAGGCTTAAGAAAGATCGGAATGAACAAGCTGCTGCACAGATTCTGAAGGTCATTAGAGTTGGACAGAGTCAGAGCCAGCCACACCATATGGTTGCTGAAAAATTCACTCATCGGAAAGAGCCATAAAATTGTAGTATATTTCTAGAGGCACAAAACTCTGACTATTAAGGATAAAAAAATAACCACTCACAGAGAATTGGCCAGAGAGGAAAGTGAATCAAGATCAGAAATCTAAAATGCCCGTGCAGCATTTGTGCTCTGTATAACTACACAGCAGACAGGGCCATGCATCCTAGCAGCCATGGAGATAGAGCAATGCACAGAAAGCCCAGGCTGTTTATGACTTGTCTTTAGACATCACCGACAGAACTTCCCCACAGCTGACACATGCCCATCCAAAGACCTTTTGACCCAGTGTGTCCTGACTCAACTACTGCCATGCATTTCCTTCTATTCCACAAGTTTTTTTTTTTTTAGAGTTTATTTATTTGGAGAGAGAGAGAGAGAGAGAGAGAGACAGAGAGAGAGAGAGAGAGAACGCACATAAGTGGGGGAGGAACAGAGCAGGCTCTGCACGGCTCTACATGGTCAGCACAGAACCTGATGCAGGGCTCGAACTCACGAACTGTGAGATCATAACCTGGGCTGAAATCAAGAGTTGGAGACTTAACAGACTGAGACACCCCGGAATCCCTCCACAAACCTTTTAGAATGAAGCAAGTATAATTTCTTTTTAATAAAATCATAAACTTTAGGTATCAAAACATATTTCTAAATCAAAATACATCTGACTTGGAGCCTCTGGTGAGTAATTTGATCTCTCATATTATAGCTCCCCAAGTCCCAAGGACTGTTTATAATCAAGAACATTTGAAGAGGCCCTCCTGAGTTTTTGGATTTTGTTTTCCATTGGTCAATACACATTGATCATGTGGGAACGGTCTCCTGAGGGTAAGATCTCACCAGGCTCGCTAGAGGGCATTTTGCCCAAATTTGCCCACAATCTGGTCTTCTTAGGAGTGTCTTAAAACTATTACCTTTTGAGGTCTTGCCAACCCTCCAAAGTAGCAAGAATCATGAATTAGTAATTCAGCAAAATGCAACTTTACTTTTGTTTCCTACAGCCCCTTCAAATGTTATTCAATAGAACACCTCTTCCCCATTTTTGGACAAAACTTCAACAGGCCCCTTGATTTTCTGCTCATCTGTATGTAATTGATCATTTTATCACAAACACTGTCTTATTTCAGTTATTAACATGTCCAGAACAAGATTTTAATTAGAACTCTTCACTTGCTTAAACATAAATCTCTAGCCTAGATCAGCTGTAGTCTGGAGCCTACAAAAGGAGCCAGGAGACTGAGAGTTTAAAAACATCCTTATCCTAATATTCAACGTATCTGAAAGCTCTGACAGCATCTTCAAAGAATGGTAAATCTTTGGCACTACAGTGACATTCCTTGGACATTCTGTGTTCATTCAAAAGGAAATTTAAAAACTTATTGAGGATGAATATAACAAAACCAATAATCACAATTACCAATTAGTGGCTATTCCCAGAGATACTCTGACATCATCATCCTTAAGGTTTTGGGTTTTTCCCCCTTTCTTTTCCTCTTCTTTCTCTAATATCTGATATCAAGTGATTATATCTGAGCCTTATTTATGCGCCAAAGTATAAATAATGCAATGAAGAATCACAAAAGAAGAACCTCTTTACCACTAGTGAGCCATTTATTTCTCAATTCACAAAAGAGGAAGGTAAGGACAATTCTGAAACACTTGCCTGGGGGCTCAGAACTGAAGCGTGATACCTGCCTCTTAACAGAAGTGTGGAATTGAAACAAGTATTGGAATGGAAAAGCATATAAAAAATGACTATGCTGTCAGTTACTTGAGACTTCAGATAAAATGTAAAGTTGAAAGCTGGCAAGCAGAAAAGCTCATGTGGAGAAAGAACTCTATCATAGATGAGAGTATTATTTTTGCTGTCTTATACATAAATCATGGCAAGGAAAAGGAAAGAAATATTTCAACTGCCAAATGGATAACTAATCATGGCACTAACCTCCCTCAAACATGAGGAACATTCATCTAGTCCAATTCAAAATTATTTTTCTCATGTTTTATTGGTTTAGGTTGTCATAGAATTTGCCCATATATATATATATATATATATAGAGAGAGAGAGAGAGAGAGAGAGAGTTCATTAATGGCAAGAAGGTAATTCTGTTGATGAGACTGGCAATATGGGAGGAAAGTGTTTCACTGTAAATTTGGAGGACAAATGTTAGTTTCCAATAACAGCTAATATAAGTGAGATAGTGATAGTGTTCTGATCCTCTATAGAAATTGGAGTGCATTTGGAGTATCTTGATTGACACATTTTAAAATGTATTGGTGCGGACAACTTATGAACTCATTAAAGATGTGGAATAAGATGGGGAACAAACATGACAAGAATTCACATTTAAAAAATGAAGTCAAGAGCTGAGAATGTTTTCTCTGGAGAATACAGGGTTCCATTGGACTCATAGGCTGAGGAACTTGACTATCTTCACCTATTTGAAACTACCATATGAAACAGGAGACATGAGACAAATAGGAGATAAATGCTTCTCTATGATCAGAGAAAAATGAGCAAAACATAAAGGAAGATCATGTTTGGGTAAAAGATAAAATGGGTATTTCAGGAGGAAGAGCATTCTCTGCCAGTAGAGTTGTTTTGATATGACATGTTAGTCACCTTTAGGTTAGAATTTCCCTCAGCTCATTGTTTTGGGGACTCATGAATTCTGGTCCATCACCTACTACCATATTGGACTCATGGAACATACTTCATGGGTTAAAGAGGCAAATGTTTCAATATACCTGTTAGCTCTCTACCCCAAGTATTGGTTCTATAGTGCCTCCTATGACTGAGCCTTGGGCCGAAAAGAGAAAGTATTCCAGAATGACAAAATACTTTTGTGTCTTAGACCTTCCAAAATGGATAGCTTCCTCTAATGAGCTCTAAATTCTGCAGAATCCTTTATTTTTTTTGTTCAATTAATCCATATTCTCCTTTTTTGTTTTCAGTTATGAAGCTATTCTTTATATGTTTCATAACTTAAAAATTCATGTGATAAACTGACAGGCCAAAAACAAAAAACACCCACTTTTCCTTTTCAACATCTATACTGTTGTGATTTATGAACCTCTTTTTATTTGGTTTTCTGTCTTACATTTTTTTAAGTCATAGGTGAAAGAATAGGAATCACTTCTTTGAGCTATATTGTATATGACTATCTGAACTACAGTACAAGTCTGTACGAGTCTGTTGTGCATCACACAGTAGAACCAGTAAGATAATTAATGTAGCCGCATAAAAATACCTTATTATTCATGTTATAAACACTTCCGATTTTACCTAAACACAGCCAAGTACAGAGTAGCCATATTACCTTGGTGTTTTGCATAGCAATCATGAAGCATATAAACTGTATGGGTATTTATTTTCAACATTTTTCTTATCATTAAATGGAGGTTAGAGCTAGTTCATCTTTAAATTCAGAATATTATTCTATACATATGGAGCTATAACATTTTTTCCCATATGGTGTCATATTTATTTCCACAAAGGAAATGTGATGACAGAAATTAAAAAAAAAAAAAAGGTTTCCAAAAAAATGTATTAAAACAACAGTAGATTTCCTATTAAGCAAAGAATTCAGTACCTCATTTTTCAGCCAGTTGAAGGAGCGCCGAGAATGTACTGGCGTTGGAAAAGATACTTCTTTCCAGCCAAACTCTTCAGAGAAGTTCAATAAGAATAATTTCCATTCAGGAATTCCATCTTTCATATGCCAGGTGTCAGGACTGTCAAATCTTTGGACTGTTTAGTCTTATCAAACCTAATAAAACAATCATACATAACCACTAGGAAACATTTTGTTGCTCTTTTCCACACAGCATCACTTTTAAGTTTAACTTGGTTTACTAAAAACCAGTTTTGCATTTTTGAACATCTTGTTCAGATTTCTAAAGAAGATTTTTCTTGAAAGTATGTCAATATAAAGAGTTATTCAAATATACACATAAAACAAGAATGATATTCAAATGCTTATATACTGAATGTAAACCAGGAGTCATGAAATTAGAATGGTACTCTTTCTGGGGGAGAAATCAGAGGTAGAAACCTTTTAGCCTTATCTTACTGACAGTTAACAGGGAGTTATATGGTGTTGGTTGGGCGTTGTTTTGTGACAAACATTTGAAATTAGGTAGAGAAAAGCGATGTGCAGATTGTCTCCTTGCGCCATGATTCAGTTTCATGATATGCTGGCTTCCCTGTAGGCGTCAAGTTGAAAATATCCTTCCTTTCCTTATTCCTCATAGCTTATAGTTCTTTTTGTGAAGTTTATTTATTTATTTGAGAGAGAGAGGGGCAGGGGAGGGAGAGAGGGAGAGAGGGAGAGAGAGAGAGAGAGAGAGAGAGAGAGAGATTGAATTCCAAGCAGGCTCCCCACTCCCAGCTTGGAGTCCAATGTGGGGCTTGAACTCATGAAATGTAACATCATAACTTGAGCTGAAATCAACAGTAGGATGTTTAACTCACTAAACCACCAGGTGCCCCTATAGCTTATATTTCTATAGCAGGAATGGGATGGAGAGAATTTCTCAAGTGTTACCCACAATTAATTTGGCCATATTTGTTAGCTTAATAACATGTAAATAATACTTCTTTTAATTTCTCCATCAATATATCAGTAAACAAGAAATCAATTAATTTGAGAGGGGGTTGATGTAGTTGCTCAGTGTTGCTCAAACACAGGATAAAGCATGACAAATAATGCATTTTTTCTTCTCTACGTTAAATTACCCATGATTTAAGACAGAATAATATTAATCACTCCTTTACAGGGCTATCCTGGAATTTTTTTTGGATGATCTGAGCATTTCCTGGATGGCATTTAAGAATACAGTGTGTGTGTGTGTGTGTGTGTGTGTGTGTGTGTACACACACACACACACACACACACACACACACACACACACACAGTGTCGATTGTCCCTGAAGTCCTCAGCAAGTCCAGCCTTTAGTTAAGAGGAAGTCTAAATCATGACTTGTTTTCATATCACTGGGGTTTACTAGATCCTTTCTGACCATAAATTTTAGTTCTAAATTCAAAATTCCTGTCTTAGGTTTAAGACCAAGTCCTTGACCTCTATAGCACTTTTTGGTAGGTGGGTGCATGGTTTATTTGGCTGTGTTTCAGTCCTCCTCCTTTCTCAATACTGGCCTGATACTTCAGTTCCGCCAAGAATGTTTGGTCCTATCTACATTAACCGTGTTTCTTCACAGACCAGAGTCTAGTCCTAATACTTGAAATGTATCAGCAAGAATTGTTGACTTCCACAGTATCTAGTCACTAATCTGTTAGAGCCTCTCTGGTAACAACCAACGCCTTGGAATTACAACTAGTAACTAGTGGAATAGAAATACTTGTGACTCTGTATATTCCCATAGCAGTGTGATGCATTTTAACATCATCTATTCTACGTCCCACTTCCAAAAAAGTTGAAAATTACTAATTTTTGGAATTATTAAGGTAATATGGAAATATAATTTATTATTTTTTTCTGAGTGTGTGTAAAATTCTCAAAGCCAGAGAGCCTTTTCATTTTGTATCCCCTGCAATCAAACTGGGACTTGGCCTAGATGTCTTTGGCCTACCTTGAACAGGCAAATCTAGTTGCTGAATTCTAGTCCTTTCCTGAACTTCATTCTAGCATCTGAGAGCTTCTTTTTAGAGCCTTAGAAGCACTTAAAGAAGAAAAGTTTAAATGAGATTAGCAGTTGCAAAAATTGGTGCCAGAAAAGAGAAAACAATTAATAAGGAAATTGATGGAAAGGGAGAAGAAACAAGGCATGACTCTTACTACCTTCAAAGGTATTATGTACAGGAAATAAATCAAGGTGACTTAGTGATAGCTCAAAGAATCACAGCTGATAAAGAATAGTTTAAAAAACTGATATTTTAGGGAAAACATGTATGACTTGAATTATCTTCTCCAAGTTTACTTAATATCTTAAATTACAGATTTTCTCCACATCTGTTCCCATGGCAGTTGATGTTTCCATGGCTGATGTTGCCTGGTCATACCCATGTCCATCAAATGGAGAATTTTTCTCCCCCATAGTCAAGGAAGCAGAGAAGTGAGGACAACATAATTCAGATTACCTTGATCTTTCTGTAATTTCTGCTTAACGTAAAATTTAGACATTTATAAACTTACAAAAATTGACAAATGTGGCACATCCACTCTTCTCTGTAGCAAATGTCTAAGCAAAAATAAAGCATTATTAATAAACATTATGAAATAAAATATGGAATGAATATTAACCAAATATAAAGGTTAATCTCTATCCTGCTAAACAAGTAAAATTTGAACAAAAAATGTGAATTATCCATGAGAACAAGTCACTGAAGTAATACAGAAGAAAATAATTAGGCAAGAGAAAGCTTTCTGTACTTTTTTAGAGACTGCATTTAGTCCACTTTGATAATGGAAAGTATGTCCTCCCAGCAACCAAATACAATGATCCTGTAGCAGATGCAACATGAATTATTTGGGGGATATACCAAAATCTGATAAATTAATACATAGAAGATCCATAAAATCATTTCTAAGTGATAATTTTTATGATGATGTAAAAAAAATTCTTACACCTTAGAGAGCTCAGCATTATATTTACTTTTCTTGAAGAAATATTCTTGGAACTCAATGATTATTTATTGGATTTTTGTAAGACTATTAAAAGTACAAGCCAGTAATTAGAGCGATTATAAAACTAGAAAAAAAGAATATTTTAGAAAAGGTATGTAAATAACTAATATAGAATGGAAAGCATTCCTCCAGAATACAGCAGAAAGTGGTTAATAGCAGTAAATTTCTTAGCAACATGTTTTCATGGAATCTCAGTTGTACCTATACTTTTAACTTTGCCTAAAATCTCCAACTTTTCACTGAATCATTTTATTTGAAGTTTCCATAGAGATTAAAAAGTGGCTACATCAGAGTGTATGTGTGAAGCAACTTCTAAAATGGGTGTTATTCACATGATTTCTTTTTTCATATTTATTTTACCCATACTTCTACTCTTCTTATTTTTTAGACATATTTTCCCTCAAACTTTGACCTGCATGTCCTGAGGTAGTTCTCCCTATTTCCTGACACTTCCAAACACAAAACTCTCTCACTCATTACATCTCAGGGGGGTCATGGTTTCTTGTCACAAGAAGGTGTGCTATGAAATTCAATCTATTGCCACTCAACATAACATCCTTCTAATCTCTGGTGATGGTCAGAGGTCAAGGTGGCATATAATACTGTCACACACATCACAGTGAAACACAAAGGATGAATATTCATATTTCAGTGCATACAAAGATGACTGCCAGAGTTTGAATACACATGGCCACACAGTTGTTTGTAGTGTATGTGAGATTCATCCAGACTTCCATGTCTTTCAGCTAACATATTTCCAGTAAATTATTTTCCGTGAGTAATTTAAAAATATTTTTATGATTTAAGCATAGAACTTTGAAGGAAATATAAAAAATGTAAGTCATAAGCATTCACAATAGTGACCAGAAATTTCAGCAAGTTGAAAACTATATTTTATTAAAGTTCACAAAAAGATAGCAGTTGAATAACCTTTTCAAAATTAATGTTGAATTATTTTAAAGTGTTTAAAATTATTTTCTTCTTTATTTGTAGATTTCTATGTCCCTTATACAAAATCATGTTTGAAGATTCAGAAACATTCCATAAATATATCCTGTTTATATATATGATATAAATATATATATGGTATGTATATATAAAAATACATATACTTCATTTATATGTTATATAATGATATGTGTGATAAATATGTATAATATACATATATACATGTATAGGTATATATGCATATATACTTTAGAGAATATTTATCTGTGTATTACTCTGTTCTGCTTGGATTTTCATTTCAAAAGTTTTGAATAAGATTTTATGTTTTGAATAAGATTATAAGTAGTTTGTTAGAATCTAACGAAATACTCTTCATTTTCTGTATGTTCAGTTTCCCTAATGATAATTTTCATTTTTAGCTTCTCTTCTATAAACGACCATCCCAGATGGCATTCCATTGTTTCAAAATTGATACCACTCACCTTCTTTTAGGAAAAGATTGTATTTAATAGGAAGTCTGGGCAGTGTTTTTCTGCAAAAAGGGAGAGAGGGTGTAGCTTGAGGAACAATATTAAGCCTTGTATTTGAATTGTTCTTCTATGAATTACTTCCTAAAATCTGATGTAAGCAAATAACTCTTCCAAGTCTTTAAGAACTGCTTTACAACAGGAAGTATCTCAACAATTTGCTGAAAATACGCGCATCTGTTCACTCAGGAAGTAAGCATCTAAAATGATTATTACCTCTTTTCCCTTAAAGAAACCTGTCATAGTTGTGTCATCCAACATGCACCTTTGCCACGGGTATGTTCCGGGGCTGAGAAACACTAACACATTCTTAAAAAGAAATATCTTTTTCCCTCTCTCTCTCTCTCTGTATGTATGTATGTATGTGTGTGTGTATATATATATATATATATACCTCCATACACACACACACACATACACACACTCATTAATAAATTAAATGTAAAGGTCACTAGGAGCAGGAAAAGACCTTTATTTTATTTACTATGGTCATCTGAGTGCCTAGTTTAGGGCCTGACACAGATGCTTGGTAGATATTTACTAGATGAATGAATGAAAGCTGTTTATGGTCTCAGATGCTGACTGGCACTCTCTGAGTAAGTCAAAGGACCCTGTGCTCTCTCCTGGATTATTGCATCCTCCCCATA